AAAAAACCAAAAAAAAAATGGAAAGAGAGAGAAAGCCCCCGAGGTGAGGGGGATGTGGGTTTATAAACACACCCTGAAGGAGCTGCAGGGCTGGTTGTGGACCTGCCCCAGACCTGCCTGCTCCAGGTGGATCCTGTTGGTGGTTAAACTGCCCCAGCTGAGCCCCGGGAGCAGCCCGGCTCCTCCTGCCTCGGCTGCAGGGCCAGGACAGGGACCAGAGCTGGCAGAATTGTCCCCTCTGGTACCCGGGGGACCCTGAATCGCCCCTCAGGCTGTGCCTCGATGGCTCTGCCTTGTGCAGGGACAGTGACAGCCACGTGGAGAGGGAGGGAATCCTGTCCAGGGAACCCCTGGGATTCTGCCAGAGCCACAGGGAAGGGATTTTTACCCTGCAGGAACATCCCCATCCCAGCGAGGGAGGGACAGCCATGGGGTGGGGCCCGGGGGAAGAGCTGAGGGGATTAAGATTTGGTCACTCTGTTGTTCTTTTTTTAGACTCTCTTATCTCACCAGCACGATCCAAAGGGTGGACTCTGCCCYGAGCGAGTTTTTGGGGTTATTTACATTTAAATCTGCCTTTGTCACTTCCCTCCTGCCACTTTCATGTGAGATATTTACAGACACTGGCACGGCAGCGTGGGGCAGAGTGGAGATGTGCCACTGYACCCGCTTTCATTTCCCTTTTTTAAAGTGTCACAGCTGCCTCAGCACCACTGGGAATGAGGAAATCAGGGATTTTGGATATTTTGGAAACCAGATATTGGATAGAATATCCTCTGCTGGGCGAATGAGGAAACGCTCACACCGAACCCAGCACCATCAGAAACCATAATAATAAAATAAAACCATTTGTGACACAGCCTTTATTCACAGGAAGATTTTGCCCCAGGGCTTTGTTTTTGCAGTTCAGCTCGATGAGAAAGTCCCCCTCCCACTGTGCCCTGCACCCCACAGCAGCCCAGGGTATCCCACGGCAGCACAGACCCCACAGGACACGGGAAAAGGGGACAAACCCAGGAAAAGGCAAAGGGATCCAGAGAGGGAAACGCCACTGGAGTGCTGAGCCCCATCCTGGGTCTGTGCCAGCCCCACCCCGGTCTGTGCCAGCCCCACCCCRGTCTGTGCCAGCCCCTCAGCACYTGGGACGGGSWKTGGGGTCAGCCTGAGCTGGGCTGGCTCACCCAGAGTGGGGAAATGGGAACAAACCCACCCTAAGGCACTGCGGTCGCACACCCTCGCCCCTGCTGCAGCCCCTCTGTCCATGGAGGGGGAATTGCACC